GAACAATTTACATATTTTGCTCCCAAACACAAGCTAGCTTTGTGAGAGAGTTACAGAACTGAGTCTATCACAAACTTTCAAAGACTGAATTAGAATTTTGCCTCATTAAAGCATTGCTTCATAAAATTAGATTGATAATAAATGTATTTAACATGAATTTCAAACTTTGATTAATAAATATATGGCAATAATCTTTATATGTTGAGAAAGATACAATCGAATGTGTTATAAAATTATTTTTCCTTTAGTTACAATTTGTAGGATCTACATATTAATATGTTTCATAAGAATCAGAGAAATTATATAAAACTCAATTTTAAATTAAAAACATTAAAGATATAGTATACAATGTGATCTGTGGGGAAAATGCAACAGAAATTATAAGGAGAAAATAAAATAAATATTACTTTTTATTTCATTTATGTAAAAAGGTTTTTGGGGGACTGTGATCAATGAATTCCATTAAGGGAATTATATTTTTAAGATCCACTAACAAAATGCATCACTATTATTTAAGTTTGCATATACATCTTTATCCTAGGAAAAATACAGGCATCTTCAAACATCAGTAATGGCATAAGATTATGTCAAGTGGTGCAAAAATCTCCCTTATAAAATGCCTGCAAAATGTCTGTCATCATCATTGCAAAAAATATAACAAAGTTCGTGCATTCAAAATGTTGAACACTTATTTATTCATATGCTTTGATTGCTGCTTGGTCCTTAGGGAAAATGAACAGCTGAATCGGAACCATCAAACAGCATACAGAGGAGGAAAAACAAGTGTTGAGCAGAGAGGCTGCTTTCCAGCTCACTCTCAGGCTGGAAGCTTTGACCAAAGAGAAGAAAGATCTGTTTAGGACCTTACATCCTAAAACAACAGAGCAATCAATTCTACATTCGTATCTAAAAGTGGGAGAAAGGAAGGTCCCCACTTAGAAACTATTTCTGAATCATGTTAATGTTCTACACTGGGAGGAAGAATCTTTGATTCCTTGGTGGTGGTCCTGATCTCTCTGTCTCTCTCTGTTTCTCTCTCTCTCTCTCTCTCTCTCTCTCTCTCTCTCTCTCTCTCTCTCTCTCTCTCTTTCCCACTCCTCTATATTTTGCTTCATTCTTTTTAAAAACATTGCATATGAAAAATGAGGATTTGATAGGTATAGGCATGTAGAAAACCAAATGTTAATAAATCAAATCCTTTTAGGCTTCTAGCACCTCCACCACCACACCCCTGAATTTACCTGTATTTTACAAGGCTGATGAGGAGCAAAAGTTATCTTAGGGGCTAGAGAGATGGTCAAGTCAGTAAAGTGCTTCCTGTGCAGGATGAAGACCTGAGCTTAGATTCCCAGCACCCACATAACTACCAGAAGTGGCAGCCTGCTACCCTCGGGGTGGGGAGGTGGAGAAAGGAGGATCCTGGGAGCTTCCTGGAGCTCTGATTTAGAGAGACCCTGCCTAGAAACAAACAAGGAAGAGAGCTAGAAGACACCCAGCACTTACTTCTCACATAACACACACACACACACACACACACACACACACACACACACACACACGCACACACACACACACACACACACTCACTCACTTTGAAACAAAAAGTTGTTCTTCAGCGGGACATATTCTTACCAATCAAAGGAAAGAGAAAATGTTAGTTTCCTGGCACTTGACTTTCTCTGCCTCCTACAAGTTTCTCCCACCACCCTCCCAGATTGACAGGTAGGTATTTGAGTGGGAATTTGGTATAAGAAGGAACTTGCAAGGAAGTACATTCTTGTATAACTTCAGAGCAAACCACCACCACACTGACAACACTTACCTTACAACTTCCAGCATAGGGAATACTTGTGAAACACTCAGCTTCCCAAGAAACTACCCAAGTTGAAAAAAACCATCAAAATGGCCATTGCTTTCAGAAACTCAGGATCTACTTATGTCTTTGCTTTTGTGTGCCTGGATATGATATTGTTAGCTATTTGGAGACATTGCTCACAATTTTCAGGCTAAAGTCACAATATATGTTACTAAACCAAGCTGCATGATCAGGAGGCATCCAATCTCAAGGGTGTATCTGGGCCAATATGTTACAGGGGGATTCTCTTAAATAGAGACTTTGAATGGAAATCTCTTACAATTTGAGATTTCCTTTGTGAAGAGGTTTTAGGTGTGCCGGGGGTGCTGATCCCTAATGCAGCTCAAGGCAGTTATTATAATAGAATTCCTAGACCAATAACTTCCAGCTTGTGGTTTCTTTCTTACTTTTAAAGATGGATGCAGCTATAACAGGATAGTGGCAGAAGATCAGAGACAAAAAAAGCGTATTTTAAATCCACCATGGGGAGAACTGCAAGACGGGCATTTCTATTTTTAAGAAATGAGTCTCTTTGCCCTTTGCCAATGCCGTAATAAAATTGGTTTCTTACACAGTGACTATACCTTCTGTACTTCATGATTATGGTGCACACTCCAAATACTGTTTTCAAGTTATCTAGACAACAGTGGACTCAAGTTTGAGGTGCCTATAGTGTATTAGCATCATTCATGACTAAAGCACACGCCAGCCCCACAGTGGTTGAGTAAAGGGGCCGTGTGTTCTTCTAAGTGCTACTCTGATTATCCAGCCTCCAATAGGTTAATTCTAAATAAATTTTTTCACTGACAGAAGTGTTAGCCATGCTATCAAAAATATTTCTGTAGCATTTTTATTTTAAATAGATTAAAATTATGATCATGTATTATTAAAAAGAAGAAACTGAACATAGTCTGAAGATTGTGGGTATATTTTTAAAAGCTTACCACAACCCCAAACAAAAGCTAGGTACTTGAGAAAGCCAGGAACAAGCCCCAGTTGGTGCAACACTACTCACAGCCCACTGTGAGGGAAGCAAGTAAGTCATTAAGCATCCACAATTTATCCTCAAAATGTAGGGAGCCTAGCTGCAGTGAAGACACACCAACCAGGACTCTCACTTACACTTGGCTGAGAGTTAGTGTTAACTTATTTGGACAACATCTTCTGTATCATTCTAAGATAAAGGAACTGACAAGTGTTTACCCAATGGTTGATTCGCAGATGAGTCATCAAAATAGATTTCAGATCAGCCTCTTGTTACATTACATTATACTGGCTATGATGTGCAAAATCGGGGAAAAAACCCAAATAATATAAGGAAAGATACAATTAAGAACTAGAGAAATAACAGACATCACTTGTGACCAAAATTTCAGAAGGATCAATTATATCGTTAAAAGAGGCATTGCACTTTCGTAGTTAGGAGTAAGTAGAGGGGGGTGTCAGTAGACTGTGAGGAAAGGCAATAGCTAGGAATCCATGCTTACAGGATCTTGGCAGTCTAGTTAAAGAGGAGCTACCACAACTGTAGAAAGTGTTGTAGTATCTCTGTTACATAGTTTGTGCTTCCTTTAAGAGAATGAATACTTTTATCTTTGCTGTAATTTTTAAAGGTATCTTTGTATGTATTCATTGTGCATGGTGGTGTGACACATGACGTTTTCATGTAAGTATATATGTTGAACATATTCTCCTCTACCCCTCATTTACAAACTTTAAAATAAATGCATTGATTATGACACAGGGAATAAGTAATAAAAATAGAGTAGCATTTAAGGTCTAAACATCACATGTGGACCCAGCTATTTAACTTTGGAGTACACTAGCTCTGAGAAACTTATTTGACACTCATGTTCTTCTTTCACGGAAAAGCTATGATTCAGCTTACATGATTGCTGTGGATATTGAAGAAAAACAACACAAGACTCTGACAACATGAGTTTTCAAATTAGGAAATTACAATAATTGTTACAACATTGAACACAGGGAAGTATTTAGCTAGGTAACAGAAAGGAAAACACTGCCTTGTCAGCCTCAAGAGTCCATTTGTTTTAAATCTCTATTATTGAAACATGGTCTTGAGCTGCCCCCTTAATATACATGTGTCTACTTACAGGTTACACATATATACCACCATCAAAGTAAAAAGCCTCATGGCTTTCTGTTCTCCAGGGACCATGTGACTGTCAATAATGGCAGACAAATTTTATTTTTAAAGTCACCTCTATGATAATTCTGATTTTCAGCCTGATACATGTCAAATATAGTTAAATTATTGTTTTGATGCTTCCTAATGACGCCGACAAAGAACTCATTTCCCTAAATAGCAGATGGATGCTTGTACAATTATATAACCTGTCATTACAGTTCTCCTATAGTATCTCTGTAAGCCACTGGAAGTGAGGGGGGAAAAAAACCTAAGTTATATAATCTGTAAATCATCTTAGGCAGCCACACACAACTTTCAATATGTCAAACTATTCTGGAAAGAGTTGAACAGGTGAGGGTGCTCTGATGGTGAATTCTGTGAACAACATCTACTTTGTGTAGAAAGTGCCTCTTCACCGAGTGAAGGCAGTGAGAAGGGAAGAGAGTGCTGACATACAAATTAGTTCATATCCAACTTCCCTTGCATGTGCAGAGTTTCTTCACATGCCCTTCTGAGTTACGCTATCCATCAATTCCCCTTGAGGATCATTACTTAAAAAACTGAAGAAGGCCCAGGATGTTAAACAAGGCTGAGATGTGACCGAAGGGGGCACTGAGGATTTCTGCCCTGCAGCATGTGAAGGGTGATTTGTAGAAATGGAGGGCAAAGATGGGCAGATTATTTAGAAGAAACCAGTGGTATTTAGACTTGGAGTTTTATACAAAAGGTTGAAATGAATAAAATATAGATACAGATCATTTTGGTCTCTCCCCTAGACACCTTGTACAAAGATTGTTTACTTATGTAACGTCAGGGTGAATATAACAATTGCAGACATGTGGAATTGCCTACAGCATTATCCAGTACAGAAAACGATACAAGTTTCCACTTACGAATCTCTTTCAAAGTTATATTTGATTTTGCAAATCTTAGTGACAGGGATAGGTTAGGAGTAAATGCATCATTTAGTGATTTTTGTTCTTAGAGTGTACTTACACAAACTAAGATGTCATCAGTGGCAGGAGATCATCATTGTATCTGTGGTATTTTTTTTTGTAGAAAACCTTGATTCTGTTTTTTATGGTTCCATTGCTTCATGCATGCTCCTTTTTACTTTCTAACTGGAAGGACACCCTTGCTAGCCGTCCTCTGGCCTCACTGGTGGGATTGTGTCACTTGGTCCACCTGTTTTATAAAAAGAAGGATGCAATGTGAGGATCAGACAGTCCAGCATCTAAACTGGGAAACTGGCTGTGTGAGTGAAGAAAGAGTCAAACAGAATGGCAATTAGACAATGTCTAAAGCAAGAGTTCAAGGGATGGTAGTCATAGAAACAAGGATAACGGAATCTTATGAAGATAGAATCCAGAGGATTCTGAGACAGTGAAGGGCATGGAGTGATGATGGTGGGCAAATGAAACAGACACAGATTTTTAGGGCTCATTGGCCAAATAAAAGCAATAATGTTAACAAAAGTAGAACATGAAGGCCCAGCTCTAGTCAAGGATTTTAGTTTACAAAGCCATATCAACTGAGAAATATTCACAGCCCACCAAGCACCAGGCACTGAACCAGGCGCCTCTTGTATCATGTAATTCTCACACTTCCCCTATCAACAAGGATCAGTTTAAGGTTGTGAGCTAGGTTTGGGAACACCGGGTTTGACACTGTTCATCTACTAGGGAGACTGACAGGGACTGCAGGTTGTAGTAAGGCTAACGAGGGAAGGGCCTCTGAGTCACTCAGGAAGGGCTTAACCTAAGAAAGGCCTCTTTGCCGTGGGTAGCAGGAGGAACAGGGACTTCGAACACAGTGGGTGAATTCATAAAGTCAGTCTGAGTGAGCGTTTAGGAGTTTTCATGAAAGAGGAAAAAAATTGCAAATTTGTAATGGCGCTTTGGTCATAGCACCCCATCTTTAAATGTTTGGTTTTATCATTTAAATACTGTTTATAGTTATAGGAATTCATCCTAAAATGCTTACTGGGTTGACGTATTGCTGTGTCCTGCACTTTGACTTATTGGAGTGTGTGTGTGTGTGTGTGTGTGTGTGTGTGTGTGTGTGTGTGTGTGTGTGTGGTGCATGCATGTACTGTGTATGCTCGTGCTTATGGAGGCTAAAGGTCAATGATGGATACCTTCCTCTATCTCTTCCCATCTTGTTTTTGGTGACACAGTCTCTTACTGAATCTGGAGCTCGCCGATTTCTGGAAGATTATCTGGCCAGGGATCCTCAGGGATTATCTTCCTGTCTCAGCTGACTCATGCTAAGATCACAGACCGGTGCCACCACAGTCAATTCTTTATTTGAGAACTGGGGATCTGAACCCATGTCTCTCATGCTCAGGAATCATGTGCTTTGCCAATTGAGCCGTCTCACCTGCCTCACTCTGAATGATTTTTACAGCAAAAGAAAAAGCAATGCTATATAAAAATTCACACTTATCTAAACAATGGAGGTTCTGGGTGTCTAGATCATTCATAGGAATTATTACTGCTAAATTCATAAATGCACAGCTCCCCTTTGTCTTTCTACACAGTAGCAGCATACTAGTTTAATTGTGAACTTACTGTACCAAACTCTCGCGGGATTCCTCTAAATCCCACTCTAATGGCATTTTGTTCCATTAACGTTGATCATCCTCTGGTACTTGATAAATTCTGCATCATGCCATTATCTGAATATGACAGTCTTGGTGAACAGAAGTAAATGGGACTTTGCCTCTCTAATGTTTCAATAATGGTAGAAAGGGCAAGAGTGCACATTAGCTGACAATTTTGAGAAACAAATACAAACACACTTCAGTCTGTCATTTAAATAAACAAGCCATTTAGGGAAGTTTAAGGAGGCAAATTATCAATTTTCACATGTTAAATGTGCTTCTCCAGCAAGATCTATGTGTGCAGACACTGTTGTTCCATTTCTATCCACAGTGTCTTGGATTTTCTACCTTATCTTTCCTGAAGTATAGTGAAGTGTCGAGAGTGATGTGGAATGCTTAAGTCTAAAATAGATAGAATAAATTGGATTTGTGAGAGTGGTAAAATCTATGGTCTCGTATCGGGGACCCCGAGTCTTGTCCTGATAAGACAGGGACAGGAAACACACATTCCTCCCTGGGATGCCACCGTGTGATAAGCTGCACACAAGCTCTGGCTGTCCACCAGTTTCGATTGAGCCAAGTAGGAAGGTTGTCAAGAAATCACACATTAGAGAAAAAAATGTACAGAAGAGCAGAAATAAACAGTGCTGTAGAAGCTCTTCTGGGATGTGGGGTGAAACTCAGTGGGCACACTTAAGTAATCTACAGAGCCCATGCTTCCCACTGGTCAACGTTTGTCTAAGAAGAAGGAGCATGGAGTGGGGGATCTTAATTTTCTCATTTCAAATCATCACAACATACTTACGCACATTATTAGCAGAAAGAAAGCAAAATTAATGGAAATTTGTAAAATTTCAACTCACCCTAATTTAAAAGTAATTATGTTCTGTTTTCACTTTTCACTGTATGAATTATGTATGATGCATGACACCTACTTCATTTTCATTCACTCCAGTCCTACATATGCTATATGACAGATATCTTTTTATGGTTTATGTGTATGGACTTCACAGACTTGTAAAAATTTTCTTAGGAATGTTTCATGACAATCTGAGGAAAGCATATCATTGGATAAATTTTTTAGTATAAGTTATTATGACTTTACATTTATTAAAAACTCCACACCTCGTCCTTCTGGTGACCACCTTCATTACTTTCAAACAAACACTATGAAAACATTGTAAATAAAGGAATAATCAAAAATAAAAATAACAAATTCTTCCATAGAACAAAACAAGTAAGTCTTTCCTTAGTTAGTTTCTGTCCATCTTTCTTACCCATAAAAGACCACAGGAATAGCAAATGCTATATTAAATGGTTGTATTTGTAAAGATAAATATAGATACATGATGAAGACAGCTTGTCTATGTCATTTAATGTTAATAGTTAATTTCACTTTTCATATACATCAGATTCCTGATGTGCTCTCAAAGTTTCATAACTAATTATAGAAAGAAATCTGTGGGTTATGAAAGCTTTAGATCAACTGTTAGTTCACTGTGATTTTGATATATGACTTTTAAAATGAAAAAATACTTTTATATATTAGTATCATTAGGTGCTTCTTCCCCATTCTGGAAGGTTCTCTTGAGTTTCCATTATTTCTGATTTAGGCTGCTGATCAATTAATATAAATTACAGCATTTATTTGCTTATTTAGATTATTTATTCTGTTGCCCAAGATGAGTCAATATTCTATCTTTAAAATGGAATCAAGTTTTATAGCTGTTTTGTTTTTACATAGACATATTTCATCTTGAAATTTTAACCCTTAAATATCTAGACTCTATCTTCCGCATGTAAATTTATCTCAGATGCTGAAAGTGCTACTGGGAGAATTTGTATGTTCTTGCTTCTTGGTACACATGGTAATTCCTGGCTAATGTCAAGCCTTGTCACTTTATAACACCATTGAGAAGCTGTCACTCTTGTTCCTCCACTATGAGAATGCTGTACTTTGGATCAGCTACTTTGTGCCTTGTGTGAGTGCTGGGTACTGTGTGCTTCCTACTCTGCTCCGGAAGTCTCCCCTGGGTTCTGGTGTTTCCTTCCATGCAAGTACTAATGGCTGCTCAGCAGAAGATCTGAACACTTGCTTTCAATTCAGCTTCCTGTCCATCCAGTATTCAGGCATGTGATTTTTTTCTGTTTTGACGTTTCTGAGCTCTGCACTGTCTCCTCACCTCCGGGAGACTGCCAGGCTCTCAGATTTTTTTTTTCTAGCCAGGAAGATCTCTTGATACAGCAAACTTGAGACAGGTCTCAACACGATTTACTTCTGGCCACCACTAGGCTCTTCTGGTGACCTGCTGATTGTTCTTGTTGCCTCAGTGGTTTTAGTGGCTTCAGATGGGATCTTAACAGCACCTTGTACAAGATGTCATCAGAGAGGCTTCCATGCCTCAGATGGGAGCAGGTACAGAGACCCACAGCCAAATATTATGTGGAGAGTGTCCTCTCAGAGCTTGGGGAACCCCATAGATGGTTAGGGAGGAAGGACTGTAGGAGTCAGAAGGGATGGAGGACATCAGGAGAACACAGCCCACTGAATCGTCTACGCGGGGCTCATAGGTGCTCACAGAGACTGAAGCCCCAAGCTGAGGGCCTGCAAGTGTTTGTACCAGGTCCTGTGTGACTATGTTGTGGTTGTTAGCATGGTATTTTTGTGGGACTCCTAACAGTGAGAACGGGTGTGTCTCTGGCTCTTTAGCCTGCTCTTGGGACTCTTTTCCTCCTATTAGGTTGCCTAGTTCAGCTTCATTCATATGAGGGCATTTGCCTTGTCTTACTGTATCTTGTTTTGTCATGTTTGGTTGTTATCTCCTGGGGGCCTGCTCCTCTCTGAAGGAAAACTGAGGAGGTATGGATCTGGGGGAGAGGGGATGTGGGGAAAACGAACTGGGAGGAGTTGAGCAGGGGGAGAAACTGTGGTCAGGATATATTGCGTGGGAGAAGAATCTATTTTCAATTAAAAAGAGGGAGGGGGAGAGGGGATCATAAGTCAGGTCCTTTGTATTTGATTGTACCTGGGAAGCAAAATTCTGTTATGACATACATACTAGATGTGAATGTTTGTGCTACTGTTTATCCCGGCCATCATCAAATATGCCAATATGTACAGTTATCCCCTGGAGTCTGCAGGGGATTAATACTAGGACTGCCCAAGAGAACCTAATAAACCTACCCAACAAGCAAATACTCATGGCCCCTGTCTAACACTGTGTGGTAGTATATCTCCACATAGCCCACACATATACCCTCTGGTGACTTACTGCAGCGTGTCCAATTTAAACCCTAGATAAATAGTTGTTACACTTTATTGTTTGGGGAATATTGAAGAGGAAATGTCTATACATGCTCAGTAAAGTTATCCTAAATATAACATAAACACACACACACACACACACACACACACACACACTTCCGACCTGATCTTGTTGAGATCCATGATATAGAACATGTTATGTAGCAGGTGAGTAGACAGGCAGTCACATGATATCTGGAAAGCTAAAGGCAACTTTCAGCCAGGGTACACAGGCCATAGGTGTACCAGAAATGGTCATGAAATCAGACAGTCCTTGACTTAAAACTTCTTGACTGTCTTGCTTCATAATGGTGGAGAAACAATACACATTCCATTGAAACTTCTTTGCAGGCTTCAAATTCTGATGTTTTCCTGGGCTAGCAGATTTGGCGTGATCATCTTTTGAGA